TTCCTGTCCCCCCAGGCCATCACAGCCGGGTTCTTTTACCACACGGCCCGCCTGTCCCGGGGCGGGTACCGCACGGTGAAGCACCAGCAGCCCGTGTTCATCCACCCCAACAGCGCCCTGTTCTCCCTGCAGCCCCGCTGGGTGCTCTACCACGAGCTGGTGTGCACCTCCAAGGAGTTCATGAGACAGGTGAGCACACCTGGGCGACACCTTGGGGACATTGGGACACCTTGGGGACACGGCAGAGTCACGGGGACCCAGGGCAGGGACACGGGGACACTGCAGGGACACGCTGGGTGCTGCACCACGAGCTGGTGTGCACGTCCAAGGAGTTCATGAGACAGGTGAGCACACCTGGGGGACACCTTGGGGACACAGCAGAGACACAGGACATGAGGACACAGCAGGGACAGGCTGGGTGCCACACACCCAAGGTGAGCACAGTGACAAGGACCTGGTGGCCACATCCCCGTCCGTGGTGGCCGAGGTGACAAAAGTGGAGACCCCAAGCCATCACCCCTATCCCCAGGTGTCCCCAGGTGTCACAGGTGTGTCCCTTGTCCCTCCAAGTGATGGAGATCGACAGCTCCTGGCTGCTCGAGGTGGCCCCCAGCTGTCCCCAACTGTCCCTAGAGATGTCCCCAGGTGTGACAGGTGTCACAGGTGCGTCCCTTCTTGTCCCCAGGTGATCGAGATCGACAGCTCCTGGCTGCTGGAGGTGGCCCCCCATTATTACCAGGCCAAGGAGCTCGAGGACGGCAGCGGCCGCAAAATGCCCAAAAAAGCCGGGAAATCACGGGAGGAGCTGGGCTGACACACCTGGACACACCTGGGGACACCTGGGGACACCCCAATACAGCCCCCGAGGCAGAGAACCGGCGCCACCCCCGCCCGGGGACGCCGCTGTCCCCTGTGTCACCGCTCGCTCTTTATTCTGTACATTAACTTAAGGGGGGGAGGGGACACGGGCAGGTGACAAAAAGGGACACTCGGAGGTGGGGGGGGTGGGGGAGGGGCGCTCAGGTGTGTCACCTCAGGTGGTTTCAGGGCCGGGTCAGGGCCAGGGCCAGCGCCGAGGCCACCAGCAGCTTCTTGGGCTCGGGGACGGCCGTGGGGGCTGGCATCAGCTGGGGGGAGGGGACACAGCGTCAGGGGACACCGGGGATGTCCCCCAGGTGTCCCCCAGGTGTGGCCAGGTGTGCTCAGACTCACCTTGTCCACGCGGTGGCAGCGGATGAGCCCCTGGGAGTTGAGGAAGAAGGTGGAGAAGGCGTCGTAGGACCTGGGGGGGGACATTGGGGTGGCACAGATGTGACATGGGGGGGGACACAGGTGTGACACGGGGGGGGACACAGGTGTGACATTGGGGTGGAACAGGTGTGACAGGAGGTGGCACAAGTGTGACAGGGGTTGACACAGGTGTAACACAGGGATGATGGGGGTGGCACAGGTGTGACAGGGGTTGACACAGGTGTAACACAGGGATGAGGGGGGTGACACAGGTGTGACAGGAGGTGGCACAGGTGTGACACGGGGTGATGGGGGTGGCACAGGTGTGACAGGGGGCGGCACAGGTGTGACAGGAGGCGACACAGGTGCATCCCTCACCTGAGCAGGGTCCGTTTGTCCCTCCTGTACCAGCGCAGCAGCAGCAGGTGCAGGGGCAGCCCCGTCAGGCGCCATCGCGCTCGCACGCTCCAATCCTCGGGGTGCCGGGTCAGGGCCAGCACCTCCAGCCTCAGGCTGGCAAAGTAGCCCCAGGCCAGCGCCCTGCACAGAGCCACGGCCACCGCGTACATGGCACGGCCCCTGGGGACACGGGGACACCACGGCTGTCACCTCCCCGTGCCGCCACCACGGGGCGTGTCCCCGGGGCCCGTCGCCAGCGTCACCCACCGCGTGTGCAGGTGCAGGTGCTGGCACTGGAACTCCACGTCGGGGGCGTACAGGGCGTAGTCCGGGATCTTCAGGAAGAAATTTGGGAGCTGGGAGGGGTGACAGGGAGGTCACCTGGGCTGTTGTCACCTCTGCCGGGGTGCTGCCCCCACAGTTTTGTCGCCCCCTCCCCAGTTTTTGTCACCTCGTGCCGCAGCTTCTCGTGCATCGTGGCCAGGTGTTCCTCCATGGAGGGGGGGTTGGGCCGGGGTCCTGGAGGGGTCCCGGGGGTGTCCGGGAGGGGTCCCGGGGGTCCCAGCAGCAGCCGGGGGGGGTCCCTGACATCGATGTCATCCTCACGCCGTCCATCCACCGTGGTGACCGGACCCCCGAGCCCCTCCAGACCCCGGGGAGGGGTCCCGGGGGGCCGGGCCTGGGGACAGCGGGGAGGGGGCAGCAGGGCCAGGGTAGGGCAGGGTCCCAGGGGGTGCTCCAGGTCCTGGGAATTGGGGGGGAAAAAGGAAAAAAGGGGAATTTGGGATCTGTAAGAGTAAGGGACCCCCCACCCCCCCCAGGGATGGGTTTGAGTTGTTGAAGGAGGGATGTGCCCCATGGGAAAAGGGATTTTGCCGATTTTGGGAGGATTTGCCCCATTTGGTCCCTCCCAACCGGCCCCGCCCCTCCCAGGAACCCGCCCTCATTTGCATAGCCCCGCCCCGCCAACCGCAAAGCGATACTATTAAAGGCCGTTAATTTGCATAGCCACGCCCATGACTATTTTCCCACGCGCAACTGTATTTGCATAACCCCGCCCACCCAACGATCTCTATTTGCATAACGCCATTCCCAAACAATCCACGCCGTTATTTGCATGCCCCTCCCCTTCCCAGCACCCGCTACACCTCCAATTTCCATAACCCCACCCACTCTGCGGCTCTATTTGCATAACCCCGCCCCCGTCTCCCCCTCAGAGCTCTCCCCTCACCTGCGGCCGCGCTCGGTAGCGGCGGCGCGGCGGGGCCGTCCCGGGCGCTGCAGCCGCTGCCGGGGCCCAGGCGCGGCCTGGCCGGAGGCGGACGGCGGCGGTGACGGTGGCGGTGACGTGCCGGTACATGGCGGCCACACCGTCCCGGTTGTCGCTGTCCCCGGTGGCGCTGCCGCCTCCTCTTCCCCTCACGCCGGGCGTTCCTTCCGCGCCTGCGCGGCGCCGCGCGCGCTTCCCCCCGTCAGCGCAGTGCGCATGCGCCGAGCGCGAGAAGGTGACCCGGAGCCGGCTGCGCGTGCGCCATGGTCTCGCGCTGTTTCCGCCCACCCGCCGTTCATTCATGAGGGAGCGGAGGGGCGGGGCCTCGCGAAGGGAGCCAATAGGAAGCGCGCTCTCCTGCTCGGGGGCGGGGCTCCCACCATATAGCGGCAAAGTTGTAGCTAAGCCACGCCCACACCCGGAAGAGACGGCAGGAAGGAGGCGAAGGTCGGAGTCACGGATTTTATTGAAATGTCCCCAAAAACGAGGGGGGGGAGGGGGGAAAGGCACCCCCGGGGCCGTGCGGGGGGGGGAGGGGCACCCACGGGGCAGGGAGGTGGGGCCCAGTGGGGCTGTGGGGTGGGAACTGGTTCCCAGTAAGGTTATGGGGCAGGAACTGGTCCCAGTTGAGGCTTCCAGTGGGGTGGGAACTGGTTCCCAGTAAGGTTATGGGGCAGGAACTGGTCCCAGTTGAGGCTTTCAGTGGGGCGGGAACTGGTTCCCAGTAAGGTTATGGGGCAGGAACTGGTCCCAGTTGAGGCTTCCAGTTGGGTGGGAACTGGTTCCCAGTAGGGCTGTGGGGCAGAAACTGGTTCCCAGTGAGGTTAGGGGGCAGGAACTGGTTCCCAGTGGGGTTGGAACTGGTTCCCAGTAGGATTAGGGGGCAGGAACTGGTTCCCAGTAGGGTCAATGGGATCCTCAGTCCCCTCAAAGTCCAGGTGGCCCCGTCCCCCCACGGCCCGGCCGGGGAGGGTCAGTGGCCATCGCGGGGGGGTCAGTGGCCATGGGGGGAGGGGCTGGGGGAGCTCAGCGGCCGACACGTCCCAGGGAGCTGTGGGGGGAGGGGGAAATATTTTAAACTGAGCTCAAAATGCCTAAAAGCGAGCCTAAAACTCATCCCAAACTTGATCCTAAAATTGAGCTCAAAGGAAACCTGAAATCAGTCCAAAGTGCCCTTAAATTACCCCAAAGTGAGCTCAAAACTCAGCCTAAACTGAGCCCAAATCCATCCCAAACCCAGCCCAAATCCCAACCCAAAGCTTAACCCAAACCCAGTCTAAGCCCAGCCCAAACCCAAACCTAGCCCATCCCAAACCCCATCCCAAATCCATTCCAAACCCACCCCAAACCCATCCCAAAGCCCAACCCAACCCCCCCCCTCTAACCCCAGCCCACCCCCCCGTACCTGGCCCGGCGCGGGGGTGGCTCAGGGTGGGGCTGGGGGCCGCCCCCGGGGCTGTCTCGGCGCAGCAGGAAGGGCCGGAGGCTGCCCCGCACCGGGGACCCCCGGGACAGGTTAAAGGGCCAGGGGGGCTCGGGCTCCTCCCGCAGGACTGAGGGGAGGAGAGGGAGGGGCGTCAGGGGGAGGGGAGACACGCAGGGACACGCCCCTGGCCACGCCCACTGAGCACGCACACGGCCACGCCCACTGAGCACACCCAGGGTCACACCCATGGCCACGCCCACTCAGGACACCCAGGGTCAGAACCATGGCCACGCCCACTGAGCACACCCAGGGACACGCCCACTGACCACACCCGTGGAAACCACACCCATTGACCACACCCATGGGTGTGTCCAGTGCCACACCCCCTTGGCCACGCCCACCGAGCACACCCAGGGAAACCACACCCACTGACCACACCCAGGGAAGCCACACCCACTGACCACACCCATGGGTGTACCCAGGGCCACACCCAAGGCCACTCCCAACGGCCACACCCATTGAGACCACACCCACGGTAACCACGCCCACTAACCACACCCATGGAAACCACACCCATGAACATGTTCAGGGTCACACCCATTGACCACGCCCCCTGCCCCGCCCACCCCGGCCCCGCCCCCGCTCACAGTCTCTCTCGCTCAGTGAGTACGGTTTGATCGGCTCCTCCGGCCGCGGCCGCGGCAACGAGCGCCGGGCAGGGGCTGGGGGGAAACGACCCCAAATTCACCCAAATTCATCCCAAAATCCACCCAAATGCAGCCCCAAATTCACCTCAAAATCCACCCAAATGCAGCCCCAAATTCATCCCAAAATCCATCCCAAATCCGCCCCAAGATCCTCCCCAAATTCATCCCAAAATCCACCCCAAATCCACCCAAATTCATCCCAAAATCCACCCCAAATCAGCCCCAAAATCCTCCCCAAATTCATCCCAAATCCTCCCCAAATTCATCCCAAAATCCACCCCAAAGCCACCCAAATTCATCCCAAAATCCACCCCAAAATCCACCCAAATCCGCCCCAAAATCCACCCCAAAATCACCCCAAATTCACCCATATTCATCCCAAAATCCACCCCAAAATCCACCCAAATTTATCCCAAAATCCACACCAATATCCACCCAAATTTATCCAGAATTCACCCCAAAAATCCACCCTAAATCCCCCAAAATCCACCCAGGGAATCTCTGGAATCTGCAAAAGGATTTTTCTGGAAAAAACGCTGGAATTTCACCCCAGACTCACCAGTTCTGGTGGAGAAAAATCCCTCAAAGATGACAAAATTGTTCACCTGGAAAAACAGAAAATTACACATTTAATGTAATTTTTGCTGATTTAGTTTCCCTGCTTTCAGTTCATACCAATAAATAATTACAACATTTAATTTTATTTTAATACTTCATGTGATTCCCAAACGTTTAAAACTTAATTCAAAATTCAAAATATGATTTATAGCAAATCCAGCATTTAATATGCAATAAAAGCTAATAAAACACAAATTCTTTTTTTAAATTTTTATTTTTATTTTCCCCTACCTGTGGGATGAGGTCAGAGAGCCCAAAATGTTTCCTGAGGAACCCCAGGAGTTTCTCTGAGGGTCTGTCCACTGCCAACTTCTCAGGCTGCACCCTCTCCCGCTGGGATTTTGGGGAAATTTTGGCAATTTTTGGGAAATTTCAGCCTCTACCAACCTCCAAATTCCCATTTCCCCCTTAAAATCCTCGATTTTTTCCCCTCCAAATCCCATTTTCTTCTCCCCAAAATCCCTATTTTCCCCTCCAAAATTACCATTTTTCCTCCCAATCCATATTTTCCTCACCAAAACCCCATTTTTTCCCCCTAAAAATCTCATTCACCCCCAAAAAATCCCATTTTTTCCTTCCCAAATCCCATTTCCCCACCCAAAATCCTATTCTTTTTCCCCAAAACCCCATTTTCCCCAAAAAATCCCATTTTTTTCACCCCAAACCCCATTTCCCCCCCAAAATCCCATTTTTTCCCCAAAAATTCCCATTTTTTTCCCCCAAAATTCCCATTTT